TTTTTTTTTTTTTTTTTTTTTTTTTTCCCGAATCGGAGAATGATTAGCTTGTCCCACTTTGGTTCTCACCTGATTTCGTAAGTAAAAGACAAGAAAGTAGACTCTGGGCTTTATCGCCTCGTGTCGTCTTACCCGGCAGTGTCCAGCGAAACACCGGACAGTTCGGAGTCGAGCGACCCCGAGCACATCTCCAGGACCAGATCAAAACAACACAAGCACGTCGCCATCAGCTTGAGAAAAAGATTCGGGAATTCGCTACAGCAGCAACATTTAGCCTCGACCATTCAGCATCCGTTTAATTTGAAGCACATGACGCAGGAGATGTTCAGCACATCCTGTAAGTGTACTCTAGGTATCGCTCTGCTCCGCTCTGATCCTACTGCGGAATCGCCCGCACGAATCAATAAAGCATTCCGTGACTTCTTCTAAGTGTCAGTTGATCCGTTTCGTTGCAGCAGCCAAGCAGCGGATCGACAGTACCTTTGGAAATCTCCCGGATGATGAGTCTAGTCTGGACGTGTCTTCTCCGCGGGAGATCAATTCACCAAGCGTAAGAAAACCGATGAAAACGATGAAGATCAGATTAAGACTATTTGAAAATATAATGTCCACTTGTTGCAGTTTGGCATTCTCACCAAGGGTAAGGACAGTGACAAGCTAACGAGAAAAAAGGATAAGCAGAAGGCTAAGGAGGATGAGAAACAAGAGAAGCGAAGACAGAAAGAAGAAAAGCTGAAGAAGGAGCGTGAGAAGAAGAAACAGGAGAAGATGAAGCAGACAAAAGGTGCCGGTGGTACGACGTCTGGACAGGGGCAGCAGCAGCAACAGCAGCAGCAACAACCTCTTATCGAGGATTTCGCACAGAGCGAGACTAATCGAATACCTTTGTTCTTGGAGAAATGCGTACGCTTCATCGAGGAGGAGGGTTTGGATTCTGAAGGGATATACAGGGTGCCTGGTAACCGAGCGCACGTGGAATTGCTCTTCCAGAAGTTTGAAGAAGGTGCGAGAAAGCAGTCTTCCAAGACTTCTTAAGGCTATTTACTTTTATTAACTGACATTTTTGTTTTTAGATGGCAACGTGGATATACATTCCCTGGATATACCTGTGAACGCGGTTGCCACGGCACTGAAGGACTTCTTCTCCAAGAGATTGCCGCCGCTCATCGATAAAGAGCGCATGAGCGAACTTGAGGATATTTCTGGTGACTAATTTTTCTGTCGAACAGGATTTTTCTTCCTATATATTTTTTTGTTTCCCCTTGTAATCACGCATGTTTTTCTTGTCCGTATGTCAGGTATACAGAATTATTCAGGAGTATTGCGGCACCTGAAAGAATGGTTCGGCCATTGAAATCAAATGGACGTAATGGGCTAACTTCATTTAGTGCAATGCTTCTGAATAACCTTGTATATAAAAAGAGGAAAAGAAATATCTTTTGTCTTGTGTTCATTGTAGGCGCACGTGGCATCAGCAAACCAATGTCAGCGACATGCATGAATATGGAAGGTCAGTGTCGATTCTTTTGGCTTAAGATTATCCACGATATTAAAATCTTTTGAATTATCTCCACTATATGTAACAATAGAAATATTGATAGAGCACTTGGGATATTTAATTTGCTTGCAGATCGTAGCTGCAGATTACTCGCCTTGCGTCTTATGCTCAACAAATTGAATCCAGTAAATTTCGATGTGCTCAAGTTTATCTTTCAGCACTTCGTGAAGTAAGTCAATGGAATTATATTATATTCTGACATTGTATTGTCATCTATACACAATGTTGGCTGTAGCTATCGTAATATAATTTGACATAATAACAGAATCTCATAGATTCTTGTAAAATTACAGAGTTGCGGAGAACTGCAAGCTAAATAGCATGGACAGTAAAAATCTGGCTATATGCTGGTGGCCGACATTGCTGCCAATAGAATTTAACGACCTCGGTAGATTCGAGGCGATGAGGCCATATCTGGAGGACGTTGTGCAGACGATGATCGACCAATATCCCTTCCTCTTCTGCGACAAGGAGGCCATCGTAATGGTCTAGTGACGAATGACGATCTCGTGAGCTTTCAAGCGATGAAAGTGAACGTGATTTACGTGATAACATTTTATTTTCCTAAGCTGTATTATTCAGCCTGAGAAAATGTCGACAGGCAATTCGAGAGTAGCAGATCTTACGTACGTCCGTCGTTCTATCGTGTTTACGATAACGCATAATACATGGTCTCATTTTATTAGGTTATAAACAATGCTTTAGTCGAGCGCGTTTATCGTTAGGTTAGGATAGGTTTAGTCAACGAATTACAAAGGAAACATCAAGTTCTGCTCTCTTGTTTATTTCTTCCATTTATTTCTTATCTTTCTTTTGTGTTCCAATCGCACGAAAGTGAGCGACGGCGAGAGTTTAGCATTTTAAAGAGAAGATGAAAGGAAAAGAACAGAATCAATACATCAATCCATCAATCCATCAATCCATCAATCCGTGTCATTCGTACGATGATCTTGTTGTGTGAATGTCTCTCATGTTGGGTGTATCGGGAGCGGGGTGTGTATTTATTAATCAGTACGGTCAGTTGACCTGCTACTAGACGATAGTCGAGATTTGGACTAGTATAAACAAAAATCGATGTTTCTCTTCTGTTTATCTCTAAAAAAAAGTCTCTCTGCGTGCGATGAGACAGATCAAGAGAGGGCTGAGTGAACTGGTTGGATTGGCTGGAAAGTACAGGCTGATTGAATGAATATTAATCACTCCAAGCACAGTTAGCCTCGGTTACTGTTAAGGCGTTACAAGTAAATCACCCATAAGAAACATATTAGGCCGTTGTGTGCTGCGTTAACTGGGAAAGCAGAAAAGCAGGAAAGCGAGACGAAAAGAAGTGTGCGTGTATGTTCGGAGGAGGGAAGGATTGTAGGTTTTAGGAAGAGTGAATCATTAAAATTACAACGATAGAAAATTGTGGCAATGGAAAATGGCTAGTTGTTTTATCCTAGTTGTGCCATGGTTTGTATAATTCGGTGTTGCGTTCGTAATTGCTGTATGCCTCTGAGGATTGAACTGAGATAAAAGAAACTCTCTTGCAGAAAGTTAGTTTCCACAGAAGGAGAAGACGATAGAAGACAGACAAGGCTGCAGGGAAGTCGTATTGGAGTCCTCGGTGTTTCATTATTCGCGATCGAGAAGTTATGTACGTGTCGGTCGCGCGTGTGTGTTTCTCATATTTGTAAAGCGATAAATATTATAACAGATAGCATATTATCACAGGATCGGTATCCTTTGGGGTTGATCAATCTCGATTCCATTCGGATCACAGATTTTCCCATATTAGGTGTAACGAAGTTTTATACATTCGTACGTACGTAATGGTAATGTTATCATAGGAAATTCGTTTTATAGACGGGTTGGCCATTGTAATTCTACCTGGTAGACTGTTTTCACCTAGTTTGAGATAAATCATTTTTTTCTTCTAATCGTGCACCCACCCCTCGGTCAACCCTTAATCCAACCGCAGTATTACTTGCTTCTTTCCTAAACAGCAAAATCCAACGGCGGCCTATAATATGCTCGACAGGAAAGTCGTCGCGAAGTTACTTCTACTCGTCAGAATATTGTGTATGTACAGTTGATAGCACCCAGGAAATGTAGTACTGCGTCGGCGTCGTTCGTTACTCCCTCACTGGCTCGTTCAATGAGTAACTACGTTTACACGGCGCTCCTAAACCGCTTTATTTAATGCTGATCTAAAGGAATTGATCAATCCCAAATATATCTTAGAAGCAGAAACGTCTGTGATTTGTCATTTCACTCGTTTCCTTTAGATCAATGCTAACTAAACCGGTTTAAGACGTTATCGTTCCTGTCACGCGTGACCTATGTATCCCCCAGGTGGGATCTTTTGACTGGTTGAAAAGGTGAGAAAGGTAATATCTCACTTAGTCACGTGCATCAATTAGATAATTAGAGAAAACATGGAGGAATATCGCTAGCTGGACCACTTGAAACACCTTTATTCTCTGTTCATATTGGTATTATTACTTAGGAGGACGAGAAAGAGGGAGGGAGAGGGAGGGAGAGAGAGAGAGAGAGAGAGAGAGAGAGAGAGAGAAGGAGCTTTGAGAGAATGTGCTCGGAAAAGAGAGTGCGGGTGTCTGTTCTGGCTTTTATCAAAGAACAAAAGAAGGAGAGTTTTGGTCGTCAGCTATGCTTGAAATCCTGATGGTCACATGGATCACCGTGAAATTGAATTGAAAAAATAAAGAGTCGAAGCGATGAGCGTCGCGAAAGGTCGGAATGAAAAGTTTGTTATTAACACATCTTGCGCGGGCACTTTGCCGCCAAAGTCTTACCGTGTAGCGGCCGATTTTTTACATTTCGGACGTAAAATTCCTTCTGCATAAACTAGCTGTAGTTTTTAAATATTAGGTTTTTTTAATGAAACTTTTAGTTTCTCTTTAAAAATCAATTTCTTTATTCCCTTTAAAAAAAATAAAAAAAAAACGACTTTGGTCGCTTCCCGCCCAAGATGTGTTGAGCTGAAAGGTGATTCGCAGTGTTACTCGATAGCCCTTAGTCGCTGTACCGTATGTGCGTGCCGCGTGCGCGTGCCGCGTGCGCGTGTGCACGTATAATGAGAAAGAGGAAGAAGAAAGAATGACGCCGTTCGATGATGTATGTACAATTGCGGATGTCGTTATTTTTATTCTTTATAATGGGACGAAGTAGCCAGGGTCTGTATAGTGGATCGTGAGCTGCAGGTTTTAAAGCAAGATTATTCATTACGAATTGGGGACTATAAATTTCTGTAAAATTGAAAATATGTGCAGTATTAGGGCTTTTTAGATAATGATGATGATGATGATGACGATGATGATGATGATAATAATTCTAATAATACTTATACTTTAGTTTCTACTGGCGCATTCATGCATACGCATATATAACCTCTATGTGGTAACTATGCCTATGCGTGTTGCGTGCACGACGAAGTGCCGTGAACCGGGTGTGTCGGGCCAATATTCTTTCTCGCTCTGATAAGGAGACGGGATTTATGAGGTAACATTTTAAAAAGTCGACTGTCAGCGATCGAGCTCGCACGCGTGCGAGCGTATCTGTTTGTACCGGGTGTGTGCTAGTAAAAGGGAAAAGAGGAAGGGTGCGTGAGAAAATAAGAATATAAATACAAAGGAACAAAGGAAGAGCCAAATTGTCAATTGGAGAAGCACAAAATCTCTTATTCGGAGTAAGCCGAGTTTAAGGCTATAGCCGCGTATATACGTATATATGTGGGTGTACGAAGAGAAGTTGTAATAGGGTGTCTAAATGGTGAGAGGCGAGGTGTGGCGGAGGATGAGACAATTCGAATTTGAAAATACTGCTCCTCCCCACCTCCATCCCTCCATCCCTCCCCCCATCTCCTCTCATCCAGTCATTCTACCAAGCCCTCGAGAACTAATTATAACTATGCTTTTTAATGTGTATATATTGTTGCTTACGTTCGGCCGCCATGTATATCAGGCTGCGAATATTATAATATTAAAGATACGAGCGTGAGAATATCGATGGATAAAGAGCGTCGAGTTTACGAGCTGCTTCGTTTTCGAAGGCGACGCGTTATTCAATTTCAAAGAAACTAATCACTTTCGATGCTTCAATCCATATCGAGTTCTGTCCTACGGATAACGTTAGCAACGTTGTTCGAGCCATGCGGAAGATTCGCAAACTTTTCATCGCCTCTTCTACTTCACCTTGAAAGTTCCCCCTTGTCGAACCTATTAATTCAGGACTTTCTCTGTTTTACACGCTCGTTAATATACCTAAGGAAACTTACTGAACGCATCTCCGTGGACGCGAGGCACGATGTCCTGGCTGGGCGTCGTTGCTTTGCTGGCTCTTTTCATTTCTTCCCTTTCTCTCTCTCGCGCGCGCGCGCGCGCTTCCCCTGTCCGTTTCGTTGTCTGTGAAATCGCGCCGCTGCTGCGAATCTTCGACGTTGCGCTCAACGACGATCTAAGACATCGGGACGCCATCGCGAATACGTCGCTCTCCCGTTCCTTTCTTCAATTTCGAGTCTCGCTTTAGCGTCCCGATACAATAGCAAGTAATCCATCTTGGCTTTGCTCTACGATCGCCGAGTACTACTTCCATTTTCTCTGTCTTATTCCCAGCGCATTATCGAAATGAATGCGATGTATCGAGAATTGAATGTCGATGGCGAATTTATTGAACGGATTACTCTGCGACCGTGAGCAGCCACTTCCTAACGAACAGATTCTAACTCTCTGAAAGCCGAATAAACGAATGCATTGCGCCTATGGAGGTTTTAAAAGACAGTCGACAGATATTAACAACAAAAAAAAAACAGTTTTACGCATAATACACATGATACATTTATACAAATTATGTACATGCACACTTACTCAGGCACTCACAGACTACACATCCATACGTGCAGAGAATTAAATGAATCGAGCACACATACTCACAGAGACAAATATCGGTGTCCAAAAAGTATTTAAAAATAAAAATCGTCTTTATGTACAATTTGAAGGAGAAGGACTCGGTTATCTTTTTCAACATCAAATCATTATTCGCCTTTTCCACCTTCCTTTTTTTTCGTTCTGTTTTAGTCCTTTTTCCCCCCAAACCTTAATCTCTTTCTCTCTCTCTCTCTCTCTCTCTCTCTCTCTCTCTCTCTCTCTCTCTCTCTCTCTCTCCCCCCTCTCCTTTCATCACTCTTGTATTCTTATTGTTTTTCGTTCGCTTGTGCCGAGGAGGGAGCGTAAAACCCAGAAAACAATTTGCATGAATTTCCGTAATGAACATTCTTCTCCGAAATCTTGGTGCGCTTCTCCCTTTGCCAAAGACAACAGTGACGCGAAAAACAATAAAAAAAAGCTTCGATTGCCAACAACTTTGCTTTGAGTATTTTGATTCTTTTACTTTGTCTTTATTTGTTGGCAGAAATAATTCAATTTAATATTCAGCGAATGAAATCTAGAAGAAGCAAGAACTGCTGCTGTTCGAATTGATTTGATCGATTGATTTATTTTATACTTAGAACGGAGGAACGATGCTCTCTCAAGAAGTGACACGTCAAGACATCGGGAGAAAGGAAGCTCCTTTGTAGCCAGAGATGGATGATAACGAAGGCAAAGTAGCTGAAATAACAACTTTCAATGCTTATTTGTTTGATTAGCTCGTATATTGTGCGAACATTTGTCTATTAACAAGGAGTTGGCAGGGGATCAGTGAGATCTTACTTATTACCATTAAGAAAATTGCCGAGAAAATTGTCAGAGAAACTCAGAGCGGTGGATCCGTTTGTTTAAGTGGCAATGTACGTGTGCAAAATCGCCAAAGGAAGAAAAGCTCTTCGTGCAACAGAAAGAATTTTCTATGGATTTCATAAAAATAGAGAAAACAAGGAAAGAAGCGTACATTGTACATACAGCACATGTATTTTCTAGGAGAAGTCGAAGCATCCAGCTAAATGCGTAATGAGGAAGACGCAAAAGGAAACTGGAAGCATTGATAAGTAAAACCTAGCGAAGGGCTCAGGGGAACCTTCTAGAAGTTTAGTGAGTAGGCCAGCCGGTACTTGCATTTTGAGGTTGCAATCCTTAACGTTCATTAGAGGCAGTAGTTTACTCGAATGAGACTGAATGGGACTACAGACGCTACAGAAGGAGACTAGTTCGCCTAGTGTTATGGTGGATAGAGCGGGAAGAAGGGGTAGCTCGTAGTACCGTGCGCGATACACAGCACCGCTTCCTCCGTCTCCGTTTGGTCCAAGGGTGCACGAGGTAGCTCCGTCTCTTTTCATCTTGTGTCTTTCTCCCCATTAGAGTGATACGAAATCCGTTGGGCTTTGCATCGGACAAATGGTGACGCCAATAGAGGGCGGCTGTTTGACGGGTAGTGAGGGAAATGACGTCACGTCGGGGTGGGTTGCCCGGGCAACGGAGCAGTGCTGCGGTACTGCGCTGGGACGCCGAGGGTCGCCACCGACGCTGTGCAGTAAAAATCAATTTGGACTTGAGCTAGGTAGGCTCGCGTTGTGTTGGCTGCGTTGATTGCGACGCTTCGCGAACGAGCACGCTTCTGGAGGAGCTGGGCTCAGCTGGGCTCCACTGGGCTCCCGAAAGCACCGAAAGCTTCCAAAACTACGAGAGCTACGATAGCTGCGAGAACTACGAAAGATCCTCCGGCAGTCGCGAGTGGTCAACTCATCGAGCGGGTGACCCGTGTCGCATTTATTATCGCTCAAACGATATCGGATTAGTGGATTGGCTCGTACGTTCATCATACGTTCCCGTATTTCTAAATTCGTCCATCTTCATATTCATGCCAATTATAACTCGCGTATATCTCCATATTGAAATTATGTCTAGTGGCAGTCAGTTCCGCGTTGTTCGTACTCGGTCATATCGTTTTGATATCCTGTGACGTTCCTTCTTTTCAAAATTATATTTGCACAACGCTATTCGTCGATAGTCGCGGGTCGACAATCTAGTGACAATCGTGAGTGCCTTTTCGCCGACTCGGTAGACATTTCCAGTGATTTTATATTGCTTTGTTTTTAATGTTATTTTAAGATTTTATGTTAGCCTTTGCGGATTCGTGAAAGCATACGCGTATGTGTCTGCACAATATTTATGTTTTTTTTTTCCGTCTTTCTCCTCCTTCTGCTTTGGTGAGATGCGATTTCTCTCTGAAGTTTCGCATTGGCACGATAACCTTTTTCTTGACTGCTTCTCGGTTCTTCGCTGCGTCTCGTAAGGCTCGCGTGGAGAATTTCGCTGAGAAGGAGGAGAGAGAAGCGAAAGAGGAAGAGGCGTGTGAGCTTGTTTGATGTGCGGAACGCGGGTGTTTCCGTAGAGTTGCAATTAATCCTATCATTGAGGAAGCCAATGGTGCACGATTATCTTGGCTGTGCTTTTCGATAAGATATGTATTTTGGTCTACGTGAGAGTGCACCAACTATTAAGTTGCCTCATTAATAAGTTCCGTTTTAGGTAAATAACTTTTATTTTATAATAAAAAATATGTAATAATAGGAAGTTCACAATTAGAGAAGAGGAATCTAAATACGTTCGCACAGCGAATGAACTAATTTAATTAAAGGGACTAAAAGGCCACATTCAAGAGTAAAACAGAGTGATGGGAGAATCAGTGAGAAAGGGGGAGAGATGGTGATCAGTGCTGAGGAAGAAAGTAGAAGGAAGAAAATGTTTGTGACGGATTTATCTGAGGTAGCTGCTTTATAGTAGTGGGAATGTTTGTCGTCATTGTCGGCGTCGTAAATGCCGAAGGCAACGAAGGCTGTCAGCTAAGGAAGCCGATCAGACGTCAGGAGCGCGAGGCCATCTCGTCATGAGAATGTAGCAGTAAAACGGAATCATCAAGGAGCACACGAGTATTTTGCAGAAACAGAACGAGAACAAATAGGAAAATCGGAAGGAAGCGTGTCGAGTCAGTGGCAAACGGAATTATCATTAAGATTAAAGTGTGAAGGTGAAGCTGAAGGTGAAGGTGACGGTGGAGGGAAGAGAAGAGGAGAAGTCGGCGGTAGTGGGAGTGAAGAAGGAAGAGAACGAAAACGAGGAGAGCGAGGGGAGAGCGGCGGAGGGGGAGGGGTAGGGGATGGATCCGGAAGTCGTGGAGAGGTCGGAAGAGAAGGAAAAAGTGTAGAATGAATCGGGCAGGTGATAGGAAACTGAATGAGGAACAAAAGTGGCTACCGTGCTACTCTCGAGATTCCTCTCCGTGAGAAAGTAAGGGAATATACGGGCAAAGAGTGAAGTAGAGGTGAAAGGAAAGCAAGTAGAGGGGCAGGAGAACGCGGGGAGGAAGAGGAACCTGGGGAATTTTATTGATAGTCGGCAAGGCGGCAGAGTGCCGAGCACTGATAATGCTGGAAGCCCAGATGCTGTGGTCGCGTGTTTCTAAGCTTCCGAATTTTCTTACGAAACCAGGAAGTTCGACGCTGTGAGTGCGAATACAGAAGATCGCGAAGAAAGCGTAGGAAATGCCGCGCTATGTATTTCAAAGAGTGGCATCCACCGCTCCTCGATAAGGTCGACGATCTTATTACGTTAACCGCCTTCTTGTCGTCGTCGCCGTCGTCGTCGTCGTCGTCGTCGTCGCCGTCGTCGTCGCCGTCGTCGTCGCCGTCGTCGTCGTCGTCGTCGTCGTCGTCGTCGTCGTCGTCGTCGTCGTCGTCGTCGTCGACGTCGTCGTCGTCGTCGTCGTCGTTTTGGAAATCGAGTAGACGGTACAGGGAGAGAGGTGGTATAGTTTTTTGCTTGAGAAATCGGCGAGTCCATTCCTACTTGGGTCTGCGGCTTCTCCAAACGTAAGAATAAGGGAAGCGCAACGATAGGAGGAAGAGGGAAGGAAGAAGCTTAGAGGATCGCCGAACGAGAAGACGAATTGAATAGCAGTGAGGATTCGGATAAAAGATTGCACCGTCAAACATGGCCTCGGTGGCGGCTTGGCTGCCGTTCGCGCGAGCAGCCGCGATCGGCTGGGTGCCGATCGCGACGCATCCGCTTCCGCCGCCGCCGATTCCGAAGGATCGTCGCAAAGCCGACGACGAGAAGCTCCTGATAAACGTGAGCGGTCGCCGATTCGAGACCTGGCGTAATACCCTGGAGAAGTACCCGGACACGTTACTCGGCTCCAACGAGCGCGAGTTCTTCTACGACGAGGAGTGCAAGGAATACTTCTTCGACAGGGATCCTGACATCTTCAGACACATACTGAACTACTATAGGACGGGTAAGCTTCACTATCCGAAGCACGAGTGCCTCACGAGCTACGACGAGGAGCTCGCATTCTTTGGCATCCTACCCGATGTCATCGGGGACTGTTGTTACGAGGACTACCGGGATAGAAAGCGTGAGAATGCGGAGCGTCTGATGGACGACAAGCTCAGTGAAAATGGCGATCAGAATCTTCAGCAGCTGACAAACATGCGGCAGAAGATGTGGCGGGCATTCGAGAATCCACACACGTCCACGGCCGCCCTGGTATTCTATTACGTCACGGGGTTCTTCATTGCCGTCAGCGTGATGGCGAACGTAGTCGAGACGGTGCCGTGCGGGCATCGTCCAGGTCGCGCCGGGACGCTTCCGTGTGGCGAGCGATACAAGATCGTCTTCTTCTGCCTGGACACGGCCTGCGTTATGATCTTCACCGCCGAATATTTGTTGAGGCTCTTCGCAGCGCCAAATCGATGTAAATTCGTACGGTCGGTGATGTCGATTATCGACGTCGTCGCCATATTGCCCTATTACATCGGCCTCGGCATAACTGATAACGACGACGTATCCGGCGCCTTCGTCACCCTCCGGGTCTTCCGCGTCTTTCGTATCTTCAAGTTCTCGAGGCATTCTCAGGGTCTGCGTATCCTCGGCTACACTCTAAAGTCCTGCGCCTCCGAACTCGGCTTCCTTGTCTTCTCACTCGCAATGGCGATCATCATCTTCGCCACGGTGATGTTCTACGCCGAGAAGAACGTCGAGGGCACCAACTTCACATCCATCCCGGCTGCCTTCTGGTACACGATCGTCACCATGACGACCCTCGGGTAAGTAGGGTGCCTTGTAAACCTTTTCTCTTTAATTGGAGTCATTCAGGCGTCTAGCATTAATCGCTTCCGTAAAAAGTTCTGCTTTGAACGGATCTTCGCTCGCCATCGGAACTCGAAAAACCAACACTCTGTATTTCCACATGAGCATTCCTGCAGATTTCCAATTCTAGAGATTAGCATGGATCTTTTCCTGGCATCCCGAGACAGCAGTGAACATTTCTCTTGCGTCCAGAGAAATCTATATCAGCGATATTTTTTTTATTGTTTTCCAACAAACAACTGATACCTGATAATCAAAGAAATGTGCGGGAGGCTCTAATCGGAAATTCGTACTATAAGGGTCAATGTCCACGTGCATGCTGGGCCCAGACGTTTAACTTTAGGTATCGGTAACTTTTTCTCGAAGTCGAAGTGAAGGAAGATGAACAGGTGAGTTTACATGTGAGGTACGTTAGGTATCCCGAAGGTAAGAGCATCACGTGAAATCTTTGGACTTGGCCGCCGACTTGTAGTTTAGCCGCGGGTAGAGGCTCTCTTAGATGCGCAAACTGCTTCTACGTCTGATGTCCGATGAGCTATAGCTTTGGGCCGTAGCGAGAACACGCGAAAGTGTGCGAGAGCTCACGGGAGCTCACGGGAGCTCACGGGAGCTCACGGCCTGATGAGACAGAGCTCCTATTTATAGGAGGGACGTGACATTTTTCTGATGCTCAGTAGCCACTGCTTTTATCATGTCCCGTCCAGTACACACGCTCGCACACACTTACTCTCCTTCCGTCTTACTCTCTTGCCTTTGGAGAGATGTCTCCGCAAAGCAGGGAGAATCTAACGTTGCATCTCTCCGAGTTCACAGCTCGCAGCTCCCAACTCCCAACTCCCAGCTCTGAGTCTGAGGTTAAAAATAGGGAGAAAAGCACGTGCTAATGTAAATGGTGTGCTGCCTCGTGAGAGCTTCACAAGGTACTCGCCAAGGTGCTTCTAGGTCCTCGTGGTAGATGCCCCTGGAGATGTGAACCGCTACTTTAAGCAGAAACTGGATGCAAACTGAGCCCAACTATGCTCAGGAAACTCTGAAGCTACCTTGCGGTCAGTCGTCGATAAATTTTGGTCGTTTCATTCGAAAGGGCATCCAGTCTGGAATATTACGTAAGGTCCTGCTATTAGGATTCCCTTTCTCCAGCAGGCTCTGCTGTTCTCTTCCTGCTGTAGCTTCAAAAAAGGAGTCACGCGAAGCAATCTGTTAATTCTCTCTGTCTCTCTCTCTCTCTCTCTCTCTCTCTCTCTACGGTTTTATCAATGCTTTGTGCCTCCTTGGTATATTTTCAGAATGAACCCTTTGTACTGGTCAAATTTAAGAACAAATATTGGATGTTATAAAAAAAGGAATTAAAAACTGTAGTCAGGATGATAGTAATCGTACTGTCCTCTAGTGTGCAATTGTGGTCAATTCCCAATAGGATGTGAGCATTTTTGCGGTTAGTGAGAATCGTTCATGGAGACTAGGGGGTAATGGCAGCCACGATCGACGCCACCGATGACACGTGCTTTTATGTCTTCGAGGAGAGAGAAAGAGAGAGAGAAAGGGGGGGGGGAGGAGAGAGACGCGGCACAAGTGTGGTTTACGGCTACAAAGTCTCTCGACTTTGTGTTTGGCAGAATGCCAATCACCAGTCGATACGGCCGTCAAGAACGCGTCACCCGGTCGGTCTAGCAAAGTGTTTTTCGATTGTTGTAAATGCGTCTCTACTGCTAAAACCGCTGAACCACCCAAAAATCGAAGTCTTTATTGTCTCACGTCAACTTTTTCGAAACTATATACATACTCTATTCTATCGGAGGCTGCGACTCCTGTCATCTTGGACCTTTGGCGCTCCTTCTCTCTCTCTCTCTCTCTCTCTCTCTCTCTCTCTCTCTCTCTCTCGGCAGGGTATTTTCTGTTATTCTCGGATGATTATGCGATTTTCTCCACACAAAGTCACTCTCACCGATCGACCGATCGACCGATCGACCGATCGACCGATCGACGATCCGTAGCAAAGATATATCTAACTAGCAGGATGGCGATCCATCGTGTTCTAGATCGGACGCACGTCCTCTTTACGGGAACGTTAATTATTTTCGTTCGAAATGCAGCGACTATAAGGGACGGCGCCACATTGGCCAATACTTTTCGAATACCTAAAATTGGCGTATTCGAGCGAGAGGCTTCCGTCTCGTTATCGGCGCCGACTGAAGTGAGTTAGAGTGCCGGAGGTACACTTTCAGATGTTTTCGATTGATCAATATAAAAATTCTCAAGGAATCGATCGATTATCGATACGATAAGATATGAACATCAGTGCGTCTTCGGCAAGGTGGCAACGTGAACGCCTGATTTATAGCGTGTTCAGTGATCTCATTAAATTGAATTAATGCACGGCTCCGTAGTATTGGGCTGGTCAGTTAATGTTTTGTGAGTAGAGAATTCTATTGCCGGAGATTGAAGGGGAAAGTAGAGAAGAAGACACCGTCACGAGTTTAATAATATAATTCTCTTTGGACATAGGACATATTATGTCGAAAGTTGGCAAAATTTATAGAATTTTGTATGCATTATTTGTAGCGGCATCGGATGCGCTCACTTTTTCCAGTGGCAGGAGTTACTTAAAACCGAGTTCACGTCTATGGCGCAGAATATGAAGTCCGGAGCCAATTTCATTCGGAATATCCGAACTATATTTTTTTTATCCCGACTTTGACCTGGCTGGATGAGATGGGACGGTATTACGTATCGTATACAGCGCTGATCCAACTTGTGACTTTTCCTTCTGAAAGGAATTCTCAGAAAATCTTTGGAAAACCACGAAAACTTTGTCTTCCACGGGAAAAGCAATGCTACAGGCGACAGCCCTCACATAAGCGTCCAATCGATGAACAACACCAGGATTGAGATACTTGGATGAAGATGAAGGGCTGCCGTAAGCAATAATGGTACTTTTATAAGTTCCCAGGCTTTGTCGGGATTTAAATACTTGTGGCTATAGGACTTGCTCTTTTTACACTGTCCTTTTACTCTTCTTTTTTTTAATTCTCTTTAAGGGACCAGGTCGCGTTAACACACTCGATTTGTAATTTATGAAGTTATACCAGAACAGAGAAAACGATAGCTCCTAGTCCTCCTAGCTCTCTCCCAGTCATCCTAGGAAAGATCGATCTTTCAAAAATCAACAATTGCCACGATTTATACCCCCCGTTCTTAATGTTATACTGCCCAGTCTAGTGCTTACTAGTATTTAGTACTATGTAGCAGTGACGGTAATAATCGTTAAAAAATGTCAGTCAGGATTCCCCCCAGGAATCTCGTCTTAAGCCTCAACTGCTACCGATCTTACAATTAGATTGACATGCGTGTTAATGGGACCAGCCTGATTCGGACTTTTTAATTATACTTGGTTGAAAGCTCTGATTTCCTTTTGAATATCTGACGCCATTCGTTCCAGACACGTCGGCCAGTCATCCTTTTCCATTTTTCTCGATGTTTATGGATTTCATCAGATCCTTTTTTTATCTTTCCTGTTTTGCCTTTCCTCGATAAATATCCTTTATGGATGGAGTCGCGTGTGTTTTTTCAAGCGCAAAACCCAGCTCGCGTGACTCGCTGTTAGCGTGCGCTTTGGATAATATACTAGGGTAGCTTAGGTACCGAGATACATACCACGTGTACTACATGCAGGACATGGAATGGTTTACGTGCTGGGGAGTCAACCATCGAGGCTCGCCATTGGCTCTTTTTCTGGTGTCCTCGGCGCTCACTGGCCAATACGTCGACAGGCGCTGGATATTGCGTTACCCGCATCAAGCGCCAGACTCTTCTTCATCCTGGCATCACTTAATCCTCTCATCCTCTCATCCTCTCTTCCATTGGCTGCTAATTCCTTCACTACTCTTGGCACGTGCCTTTGTATAGCGTAGCCTATAGGCACGGAAAGATAAAGAACTAGAGAGAGAGAGAGAGAGAGAGAGAGAGAGAAGGAAAAGTAAAAGCAGGTGGGGAAGTAGCTGATGAAGAGGAGTGCGGGGTATATGTACAGCTTGAGACTCTATTAAAGAATATTGATGCCGAAGCTGGCATCTCCGCTTAACGGGTTAAGCTGAAGGGAGCCATTTTAAAAATAAAGCTGGCTCGGTTGAGCGTCGGGTCCTTTGCACGTCAAAGAATCCTCCATAGCGAAGGACTTTTGATTAGACGCTTGGTTGATCACGACCCACTTGCTATTACTGTATCTTGGATTCCCTTCGACCCATTCGACTTGGTTCTAACTCCTGCCTCCTGACTCTGGCATCCTGGATACTAGATCGATAAGGTCGTTTGCCGATTTTTCATCCTTAGATTTTCGAATTGCTGCTCTCAAAGGATAACTGTAGCCTTGTTCTTCTCTCTTTGGTCAGGATAATACCACCAGAGTCTTTAAGGCCTGCTAAAAATTATGGAATTTCATGGACATTAACCAACCGCTGCCATTTATAACATTGACCTCGTCAAGCATTTACGAATTAGGAGAAATTGATGACTTTATTTTCTAGCTGACTCCGTGTTGCCCTCCTGTCCCAATCGATCTGGCGTGTTCTTCATTGAATTCCTCATATTCGTCCGCATTAAGGACCTGCCGCGATTTTATATTACTGCAGGGATGACGAGCGATTAGCTCTCGGCACACTTAACGAAAGTTCCAAGCTCACGCTAAACCACTAGATTCTCGGCTGATTGATTTAATGGTGATTTGTGTAATTGGAGGAAGGCAGTTGTGTCGTTGTGCAACCAGCTCACAGAGCGCACAGAGCGCACAGAGCGCACAGAGCGACAGTGGCCTCCTGTCGGTCCACACGGGGTTCTGGCTGGCGCCTTTCCAAACTTCTAACAAGACATAAACGAAAGTTGAAATCGATAGTTTGGCTACGGGTAGATTTAGCGAAAGTCGTACTTAAAAAACTAATACCTGCACAGTGTCAAGTTCTTTATTTTACCTTTATTTTATCTGGAGATTCGAAATTCGCCACCGATAATCATAACTGCTCGATCAAATCGATTTATTTTTCATTCGCCGAAAGTATTTAGTTGGGTTGCGCTTTAAAAATTCATTTTATTCGAATATTCGTCTCTCACTGTGCCGATCACACGGAAAATCTTATCGTCATTAGGCTCTTTCGCCGAAATGGCTGACTTTAAAGAGACACAGGAAAAATGGTCAGTTCACTCGATGTCGCTCGATACTTGAACAAAGAGAGAGCGTCGAAAATGCGACCTATCGGTTATCGACTATCCGCACAGCGCAGTCTACACTTTGCACGCATTCACTTAGCAGAATGGAGCTCGCGTGTTTGCCTCAATTGTCGCTCGATATTTTAAATATTATTTACCTCGTTGCTGGTCCCACGGGTCAGCGACAAATTGCAAAATGGGTTCAGGTCGAATCGTCTACCTGCAAGCATTGGAGAATTGTCCAGGCTTGAAACGACTCACAATTCCACGGGGTATACTGAGTAACTTTATATGCTTGGATAACAAGTCTCGCCTCAGGAATTAGCTGATGCGGGGAAACTATTTACGCGAGGATTTCCTTTGGCTGCATTCCGAGTAAAGTGCAAGCGGATGGCCACTGCTATCGTTAGGATTTTATTTGATGGAGTTGTCGCTTGTGAAAAAATGAATCCCATGAAAATTGATCGGAGGTTCGAACCGGCGGAACCTCACGGTAGTTAGGCAGGGAATGTAATATCCAATTTTTAGGGGTCCACCTGGCGCTCGAGTGCGCCTTTACGAATTTGGCTATTTATAATTCCTCGAGGCATATTTCTCTCATGTGAAAGAGCGGCTGCTTGATCTGCAGCATCTCAAAATTGAAGGAGTGTTTGATCAAAGACGCTACCGAAAACATGTCAGTCATCGCCACGTCTAAACAGGCCGTATCGCATTATCAGCCGTTTGGATTACAGCGAATAGACCGGATAGACCGGATAGAGCGAATAGAGCGAATGGACACTCGTATACACATAGATACGAGTGTTGCTCGGTGATCGGCTCACTTCTGCCTTGGTACGTTTCCCCAGATAAGATCTTCCCCGGAGCCAACATGAAATTGCAAAGACGCGTAGGGCAATCGTTATTCGGTCACGTTACGCATCGCCCTGTTCTTATTCGAGATGGAATTGCTGCTACTTCAGTTGAAATATCTTGTGTGGTCCATTTGCACGGACCGGTAGTTGGCCGACCGCGAAGGAGGGCCGAGGACGTAGGGACACTCGAGAGCCGGTCAAATAATTCCATGGAAGATCGGAACCAGCGGTGACGTCCACGTTGCTGGCTGGGAAAGTGAGCTGCACCAGGCTTCGGGCGCTTGTTCCTTGCTCTGCTCCACATTTCTTCGCCTTGTTCGAGTCAGCAAGTACGCGAGCGAAACCTCGAGCGAGAAGTCGTCGGCACCTGGGGCTAAACTTTACTCCCTTACGTTCACTTTTCTCGATCGGACCGGTTTTATAAATCCGTAATTTCACTCACTTTCCAATTACTAGATCAGCCGGCCAATGAGTCTTTGACGTTAATCATTATGTGCAATATAAGCGCCACGCAAAACCCTTCTGAGTCATTGATGAAATCAGACCGAATCTGATGATGGTCTTCCTCAAACGATTAGCCAAGAGAGATAAAGTTCACAGTTAGATATCATTCGGGACGAGACGTTCCTCTTTTGCCTGCAACTCTTACGAGGAGGGTTACAAATTCGTAGGCAGAAATCTCGTTGAAGAAACTCTTAATCTTTTTTTTTTAATTTCCCTTCCTCGTGGAAAACTCTTAAAAATTTCATTAGGCGAGCCGAGCCAATTCAAAGCTGCGTCGTTGTCTTTTAACAGCTCGCAAGATACGCAAGTATATAAACAGGCATCTTGTTCAAAAGAAGATGCAGATTCCGGATTGAATTAAAACTGCAGAACGTGTCCCAGAGGGCTTGTTTAATTCTTTAATTCTTTGACTAGCCTGCACATGCAGATGAGTGTTTTGCATAAGGGAAGAACGCAACGTGCGCTCGTGGGTCTACGAGCACCTCGTGTCGGGCGCGCCGGGCGCGTCGGGCGCGTCGGGCGCGTCGGGCTAAAAATACGTTTCTAATCCGGCGTGCCGAGGCCCACCCAGCTATTTTCTCTCCTGATTTACCTTTTCTGCTCTTACCCTCACTTATCCCATTCGAGTGCATCGGCCGACGCTGAGCGTCGTCTCAGAATGACACGCATGATACCTGCGCAGCAAGTGGACTCACGCGAGAAAGAGTGCAGTGCACGCAGTGCTGATAAAGATATGCATAGTAGTCATTATCGATGATCATTATCAGAGGTCCGATGGCAATTAGGATTAGCCATGGGGCCACAATCTAATGTCAGTTAGTACTCGGCCGTTTATGTCCTTCTCGGGGACAGGTGCCCGTTATCCAATTATTCTAACCTGGAATGACGTCCCAGGATGCCGTCGATCCTGAAGATTAACCTGGCTAAAGGCATTGATGGTACCGAAGGACAGCTCGGCAATAATACGTGCCCGTGTACGCAGATGCATACGTGGCTCCCTCGAGGACGCCATAGTTAATACTAATTCGTGGCACGGAGCGAGTCGAGATTGCGCTAGTGAAGCTGCAGGGAGCGTTTTCGAACCTGGGAAATAATGAACGAACGATTATTGCCTCCAGAAAGCAGAAAGATATGTACAGATGTAAATGAGCCTCGCAACTGCGTTGCTCTTCCGTGAATTCTGAAAAGTTTCCCGGGTTCCTTCGGTAATCTTTGTCTCGCGCTGGGAGGTAGAAGTGCGTTGAGAGGAGGGAGGCTTCAAATGAGAAGGGACGCATGATCACGACGATGGGGCACAGGGGTTGGGTTCTTGTAATAGTACTGCAGGGGTTATCAGCGTGCTGATAGAAGCGACGGTGACGTTGCTGAACGAAGCCAGGAAAACGGTAACGAGCTTTCCACTTATATTCGTACAAGTACTGGACTTTCAGACCGGGACGGCCGGCCGGCCGGTGGTGGGTTCATTCGGAAAAGTTGCACGTCGGCGGCGCCCTTACGCGGAGACCCTGCTGCCCTAGAGATTATCTTGCCAAAAGTTTACCGAACGGAAAACAGCTTTCTTTATGTTCCTCTTCTTTTTCCTTTCCATTCCCAGCATCGACCTATCATCCCACGACGTGCAGGCGACGCTTTCATCGCTTCCATCGCTTCCATCGTTCTCCTTACTGGCTAGCATATTTTTGAATAATACAACGGCCTACATAGGATTTGCCCATTTTGCGAGCGGTCATTACTTACAATACTGAGGCAGCGGTGCGCGTTCCTCTTGGTAAAGGTAGTTTGGAAGAGATGCTACTGAACCCTCTGAAGTTAGCTACGATGTATTCTAAATTATTATTTCAAAACGTTCCTCGAGCCCTCCGAGCTCATCCTCCATCATCCTTCATATCTTTCTAGCCCATGGAACCTTCAAGGACCTTCCGACCAACAAGACCACTGGCATCCGGTATGTCTGGTTTAATGTCGAAGCCAATCCCCTCGAAACCCAGCATTAAGTACCATTCAGTCGGAGGGTCCTTGTTGAGTAAACGTACTAAGGAGGAACCCGGTGGCGTAATAGAGAAAATGGAAGGGAGAATATGCACAGGCTGATCTCGTTTCTATGATTTAATTGGAAAAGAAAGAAGATCAAATTGAAAACGTCGCCAATCGCATCGAAATTCACAAGGCGCATCTACTGCACCGCACAGTCGCGTTTGCATCGAGCTGCATGAAAAATGAATGCAGCCTTAAGCTGTACAAATGGAAAACCCAATGAGGGCTCACTCTGTAGCTAAAAATCTAAATACGCTCTTGAATTTCAGGTACGGCGACATGGTACCGGAAACGATTGCTGGTAAGATCGTCGGAGGCGTTTGCTCCCTTAGCGGAGTCCTGGTGATCGCCCTACCGGTCCCGGTAATCGTGAGCAACTTCAGCCGAATTTATCACCAGAATCAGCGCGCCGACAAGAGGAAAGCCCAGAGGGTGAGTCGCGCTCGGCCTTTCTTTTTTCGTTCCTATAATTCTCATACAACCCTTATTCGACCTATTTTCCCAGGGATCTTCTCGTACTCTATCCGCAGGCTTTGGCTTTACTACTATCCATCTTGTGCTGCACCGAGCCTAGCTTCTGAGGTCTTTTCAATAAGCTCATCCTATGTGTATGATGTGCATCCATACTATGGAAGCAATCCTCCCTCTATCTCTTCAATGTATAACAAACTATATTCAACTACACTGGCATTCATTACCCTTACGCTTATGAAGCCTCCTGTATAGTGGTACATACCTGAGATCCATCCCTGCAGAAGCTCGTGCTGGCGCCAGGAGTACATACCTTCAAATATCTTCTTCTTCGGTATCTCTATCCATACTCGTATCCACAGGAGATATCCAGTCTGGGCCACTGGGAAGGACCACGGGCTTTGTCGAGCTTCACCGAGCTCTATCACATTATTCGACTGGGTTCACAAAGAGAAAACACGAAATTCATTGGGATTATGCAAACGCTCTATCGCTCTACAATACGTACACAAGTGACTTTACGCAGAGCTATGTATTAGATTTATGTATACGTAGTGTAGAAGTCCGATCTATCGTTTTATAGGTTATGTGTACTCATTCAAGGAGCTGGGGCCCTACTTTTCGTTGAACAAGTACTTTTATTCGGCGCACGTGCTAACGAGCGCTTTAACTCTCTACACTCGAATCCAGAATCAATTGGTTCAGGATGATTGAAGGTGCTTGAAAAATGCTCGAGCCACTTTATCTACCTTCACGAGAGTATTCACCTCCGCCGTATACATTTCATTTCGATAGTGGTTCCTTGCTTTTCAATTTTATTGGGTATTGCACTAACATTTTCTTTCTGCTGATATCTAAAGTCGAAATAATATACGCTTCGTGTTCAGCCATGACGTTTTCGGTTGACATATTGCCACTTGCCGATAGAATTTACGAACAAATGGCCACAATGGGGTAAAATTCCTGGACGGAATTCCATAAGCCGCTTAATGTAGTTCGTGCGTCGAATTATCGAGCAGGCAGAATTTACGAGTAAGGCGCCGTGAACGGAAGCGCCGGTACGTCAATCGTATCTCTGTTATCTCTCGATTTTTGCCAAGGAAAGGTCAGATTCTGGCAAAGTGGCAACTTCCTAGAGTGACACGTATCAATATGGCTATTACGGCGTTCGCTACTTTTATCATCACGCATCTTCAATGTCTTCTTAGCGTGTCTGCCTGTGCCCGTAAGGCCTTGGTAAAAGTCATTGGGAGTTTTTGAGATTCACGGAGAGCCAGAGATAGATAGATAGATAGATAGATGGAGAGAAAGTGATACATGAGAGCCTGCAAATTATTTATAAGATTATTTATATAGTGGAGCATATTGGTTATCGCACGTAAACCTGTGAGGATATACACTAAGCAGCACACTCTTACGTGAGCTTGCAGTCTGACGTTGGCAGCATTGCATTCAGTTGCTGAGATTTTTACGTATATAACGGGTTCCTATGGCGTATTCCTATTGGTTTATTTATGTACATATATGTACATATACACATATATATGTATGTCTGAAGTCTCTTTGTAGGCGCTTTACGAGTCTCTCGGTGCATTCGTGTCAACAGCGTCGGCGTCGGCGTCGGCGTCGGCGTCGGCGTCGCTTATACCTACCGCCAGTGTGCACCGCGAGCTGTTTGTTTTGGCTCACCGCCAGATGCCACGTATAGTTGATTACAGCTGCTCCGCATATGAGTACCTACACGTATGATCATATTGTTTGACTCCTTCATTGGCAGGTGCTGTGCGCGTAAACCGCATATATGGTTCACGTTGCAGAGATGCGCGTTTCGTGAAATTTCGCATCCCGCGAAGCGTCGCTGCGTGATCGGCATCAACCCTATATGTATGTGCACGCCATTGCCATTGCCAGCCAATTAGCTTCAACGTAAATTCCATTGGGCTTTATTAGTCGCGTGCAGATGCCTGCGATGCCTGCGATGCCTGCGATGCCTGCGATGCCTCGGCTCGTGTCTCGTTGCGGTTGTTGCGGTTGTTGCGCCTGTCCTCCCGACACTTCGATGGCTCGATACCCCAATCAATGGCTCTATTTATGCTCGAATCACAGTTTCGATCCGGCGCGATTGAATCGGGGTTCAAGGTACTATACCTCCGAGGTGCTGTTTGGCTCAGGGCGCTAAACAAAAAAGGGATGTTTCCCCCCCGAAAGCGGGGCGAATCCGACCGACAGTCAGAGAGGGTCGTTGGCTTTCGTTTAGGTGGGTTTGCCCTACGGATGGATCGCGAATACAAAGCTGCTCCAAGCGCGGAAGAACTTTTTCGACTCGTTCCACTTTATCGGAGCTGTGCTCTTGCGAAGACGTCCAATTAATTTGAAAGTTCCCTCACTCATATTCCCACTTTACACCGAGAATTCAGACTTTAAGCGAAACCGTGGCAGAGGAAACGAGAAAAATTTCTAATATACTGGCGATACAATGCAATATATGTATTGCTAGAGCTTCCATATTCTTCTTGATCAAAGAAATATTGCAAAGACGTCAAAGTCTGGAAGAAAAGTATGCTCGGCGATGCATCCTGAGCTGAGTGACTCGTGGGTCTCGTGGGTCTCGTGGGTCTCGTGGGTCTCGAGTATCTCGTGTATCTCGTATTTCATGGATGTATGTACGTCAGTGGAGGAGAATGGGGTTTAACGAGATTCTCATGTAAACACGGCATCGCGACAAAGAGGAAGACTTAGTAAAGCCCTGAGAGCTCGATTCCCGCTATTTGCAGCCTACAGGCGCATGAGGTCGTTTTAGGCGGCGGTGGTGGTGGTACCAACCTACGAAAAAAAAATCAGCGCCAGGAGACGAAGCCACTCGCCTAAACGGATAAACAGTTATCTCTTAAAGTTATATCTGCATTTAATGGCTGTTCGGCGCCACCATGTTGATCAAACGTTAGTCAGTCAGCGGCTGTATACTCTGTTATGGTTGATGCGATTCACCAATTGGCAGGCTTCGGTGTTTTCTTCGCTCTTGTAAATTTATGGGTATGAAAAATAAATTTATTTCTCTTCTCTTCGACGGGTTAAATTGAATGTCTGATTGAGCCAGGTGATGAGCAATTTCGGAAAATGGCGGCCTGGCGGTGGTGGCACCAATAATGTCGACGTCTTAGGGATGCTGTTGTGGTATTGGCTGACGAGTGATGAGTGATGAGACCTGGTCACGAGGGTTGCTAAATATAATCCCACTTATATAAGCGCGAAATTTCGTAATGGTAAGCGCGAGCCAATAACCGTAAAACTTAATTGCCAAAACAAATTTGCCCTGTAGCCTGGGGCGCGCTACAGCGGTGTGCGCCACCCGTATGGAGGCAGACGGCGTAGAGCCTGGAAAGTTAATGTCAAAAACATCCGGCGCATTGTTTATGACGTAGGTGTCGGCAAAACGTGTCGATCGGCTGACGATTCTTCGAGCCGAAGAGAAGCCAGAGAAAAGGGGATCGTGGCTGTGATACATTCTTTTTTCTCTTCCCTTTTCTCTTTGCGATTGCCAGGACTCGTTAAATGGAGCGCGAAGATTCACGCGTCGCATCTGATTGTAAGTTGCTCTATCGGGGACGTCTGTGCCGGGTCCTCAGGTTGCACGCAAGTTGCACGCAAGTTGCACGTCCTGACTGACAATTATTTACTTTGGTCGATTCGATGTCAGTCCTGACGTTTGCTGCTCCGTTCCTTATCAATGAGCAATCGGCCAATCCACAATCACAACAATCATTTATCGGCTTGACTGGGGACACGCGTGGCGCTGAAAGTTGGATTCAAATAAAGAGTCGAGGTTCAAGGTGCTTCTTCAAATAACTGATCCTTGACTACGACATATTTCTTGGATCAGAAATATTCCCTGAATATCATGAATTCTCGTTATACGATTTATCCCTACTCTATTTACAGTCACTCACTTTTTATCCTGATCGCAGGACATGAAATTTGGCCCGAACATAAAATACTAATTGTCGGATGGTCGTGATCCTTCGATAGTTGCTCGTTCGTTCCTTAAGAAGGAGGATTATCGTGAAGTTTCGTCGATAACTAATGTAAAGTCGACCGAAGAATTATAGCGCCTGTCGATTCTTAAACTTCTGTCAATTGCGTCGCGACGCTGTAGGCTCATTCCTCACGAAGGGAGACGTCGTTGTCCTTGTCAACTTTTCTCCAGGGCTCGGAGCGATTCGGCTCTGTTTTATTTGAGTCGCGACGAAAACTGAAAGCGCCATCGTCATCGGCAAAGCCGCAAACTCAGGAAGAAGCATTTAATTTCGCATGTCGTCGTGATTGATATAGTGCTACCCAATTGATCATGCTCCTGACGTTTTCTCGCACGTCGACCCTCATTACTCTCATTAGCTTTGGCTGGAGAACGAAGCGTCAGAGGTCAAAGGCCAGAGGGAATTCTCTCTGGAGATGCCAAACGCAGCCTAACTATATACACAATATAGGGTAACTATATCCCAGAGACGCCTGGAGACGCCTGGAGACGCCTGGAGACGCCCTGCAGTGCTCCTACGTAATAACGTAAGTGGCGTCTGACACAGGACGAGGAGGAAACCGATACCTACTTCCGGCCCTTCCCCAATGAGCTCTGCTATCACGTGGACGTGTAGACGATATAGGAGGATCAGGATCAGTTCTATGTATATGTAATTATGTATGTATACATCATTTTAATCGATTAGGCATTCTTTGATCTCTGGACGTGATCAATGACGGAGTGCAATTTCAATCGCAGGGTCGGTAGATCTGCGTTTATAGTGCGTTAGATGTGCCCGATCAAAAATGGATATCGTTGTACTTTCCGGAAGCAAAACCAATATTACCCTCCGCAGCCAGAGCTCCCGTTGACTCCCATTGCTTCCGTTGCTCTCGTTGCTCTCGTTGCTCGCTTGTTTATCAGATTGGCAAAGCCGGCGCGGAGCGTCTGCTAAACGTCACGGCATCCCAGTGCATCGTAAACGGTCTTTTTGAGGTAAACAGTAACGTCGTTTTCAGACCGTATAAATTTTCCCAAAGATTTCCTCTTTCGAAATTGTTCCGTACTTCGTGAAACAAAAAAAAATAAATGAATGTGAATTCGCGAAGATTGGTCCACTGGAGTACAGAGAACTATTTCAAATGATCCCTTGACAGGTTCAAAAGGAAACACGACTCCGGAATTCTGAGCCCGAGACACTAATATATGTATGTGTCGCTTTCAGAGATTCGTTTCACAAAATGGCAATATGAGATCGGTTTTTTGTAATTCTCTTGCGGTAAACAGTGTTTGAATCCAATGTTTGAGGCGTAGCGGAGTTCTTGATCAAGATTAGTACTTCCTGAGACAGTATATTATTTTTTGGAATTTTTGAAATTTTCTCGCAAATCATTAATGTCGCGTTATAATATATTCCTGAAGATAATTCGAGCCACGTTACGCTCCAACTCGAATAACAGCTAATGGCGCCTCCCTTGCGAATGACTAATGGTCGATGCTCCAGGATTTCTTCAGGAGTAACAATTAGTCATTGTGAGCATCCAGAGCGAAATCTTGCAGAGGAGGTCACGTCCCAAGGAAATCCAGAGAGTAAGACGGTTGAGATGGTTAGGGTGGTTAGGGTGGTGTAGGACGGCAGGAAAATCAAAACGACGGCGAACGGGGCGAAAATAGGTGGTCCAGGTTGAGTGTAATCGTTCGGAGAACGGCCTGGATACTCTAACGACTCGGTTAACAGGTTCAGCGCATTTAAAGTGCCGTTCCTGTCGAGTGCATGTGGACCAGGTCTCACAGTATAGAGAGAGCATGTTGTATAGGTTGTTGTATAGGTATATTCGAAGCAGGCGAACGTTACCGGAGGCTGTAGAAGGAGGATGGCGGAGGTTGCGGCGGTTGATGCGGTCGAGGCAATTGAGGATCAAGGAAGGTGGAAGGTGTGAAGGTGGAGCTCCTGAAAATGGAGGTAGATGCTCCGGCCGATTGCAATTTCCTTTGAATTACCTCGAAAGCCTTATTTCAGGAATATGGCTGCGGTCTGTGGAATCGGGACATCTCACAGCTAGTTAGGCGTGTGCACATTCCACATCCTCTGTCCATCCTTTTTCATTGCCTTTCCTTCTGAGAGATTAATCTCATTGTTTTTCTCGAATGTCTTCTAGAAAGCAAGGCTGGCTCGCATCCGAATCGCAAAGGCGTCTAGCGGGGCGGCTTTTGTCAGCAAGAAGAAAGCGGCGGAAGCGCGATTGGCCGCTCAGGAAAGCGGATTGCAGCTCGATGAGAACTACAAGGAGGAGGACATCTTTGAGCTGCAGCATCACCATCTGTTGCGCTGCCTTGAGAAGACCACGGTGAGTCGTTTATTCTGTGACTACTTGGCACTTTTTTTAAATATAATTAAACATCACTTGGAGACAATGCTGCTGGAGCCGAAGGGTATTTGGGATTAGTTTGATTGATCATTTATTTTGCCCAATAACGCACAATAACAAGAACTAGAGGACCGATTAGGAGGAGGTTGTCGGAAGGTTTTCGGTTACCGGGGAGCAATTGGTAGCAGTAATCAATGAGCGAGTTAGTAAGATAGAATCTCTTTTGCAGAGTGAGAAGAATTTAGAGGACCCTCGCACTTTGAGAGAAGACAAGCCTTCTCTCTCTCTCTCTCTCTCTCTCCCCCCCCTCCCCATGTATGTATGTATATACGTGTATACTGTCTGGGGTCAATGGAATATCCTTTCCGAAATAAATTTCTTTAAAATGAACCTGGCTTGGTTTACCGAGAACTAGTACTGGTTACTGCTCTTTGGCGACCTCATTGGCCACCACTGACTCATCGACTCATCGACTCATCGAGCCAATGGTTCACCGGTTATCCAGCTACTCTCGCTCGGAATGCTCGCTCGGTCATCTCCTCCGATTCCGCAGAGCAATCTGTGAATCGACTTGCCAGGACGAGAAATCCTCAAGTAGGCTCCACTTGTGTGCTCCTAGCGATACGCTATGTGGAGATAACTCAGCCGCATGGTCCCAATGATGATCATGATACGAGTATATGTGCCTGGTGTCCTTTTTGATGGGAGTTGTAGGATTTAAGAAAAAACTGGAGTAACAGTGAGAAAGAGAGAGAGAGAGAGAGTGAGAGGGGGGGGGAACATCGTCGATGTCCTCTTTGAACCCACGCGAGTTCATCTTCCGTTGCTACCGATCGAATATCCAGACTCGAAGCTGACGTCACACGGGGACTAATTATAGCGAGTTACGGTGGAAAGCAACGTCGTTCCAACAATAGCCTTCTATTTTCTCGGGCAGCCCGCTAGAATTTTCCATTTGGCGTAATATCGAGCGCGCAATCGCTATGGTTAAGGTGCTCTCCCTAGTTTACCTTCTTGGCGTTCCTCTGAGCTTGAAAATGGGAAGCCAACACCAGCCAGCCCTGACCGTCTTTCGGTCGGGCTGCTTGGCCTTTTCCCGTTGTTAGTCACAGTAAGGTTATATTTTTCTTAGACCGAGACGCTATAGTAGTACCTTATGCCAATTGCGAATTGTATTTTGATGCTTGCTCTTAGATTTCAAAGTAATGACGACTCTAAGTTTTATTGTTTTTGCAGGACCGTGAATTCGTGGAAATGGAAGTGCCGTATAACGGTGCGCCAAAGAGACCAGGTTCTCCATCACCTTTGACCTCGCCAGCGCACAGCACCGCCTCACGAGGTGGCCTTTTGCACTCGTGCTGCGGCCGATGTTATCCTCAGCGTTACCAGGTACGCGGTCGACGCATCCTCGCGTCCACGACCTCCATCAGCGAGGGTCCACCTTCCTCTTCCTCTCATTCTCACCAATCGCAGTCCGTGGCACCTGCGAACCCCGTCAACCCTGCGACAGTGCCCAACGTCGCGTTCAATGTGCCAGGCGACGTCGAGCGTCGCAGGTTGGCCATGGGAGCCTCGTGCAGTCCTTACAACGAGACGCGGGTGTGAGCCGCGAGCCGCGAGTCGCGAGCCGCGAGCCGCGAGCCGCGAGCCGCGAGCCCGGGCTTGGCATATTAAATCTCATTAATTATAATTATTCATGTATTTCCTCCTTTGCGATTCACTGATCTACTAGGTCATTACTGATCTCGGTTGCTCGATCAATTAGAATCGTAAGTCTGTCGATAAAGACTCTAAACGCGACTGAACCATAAGTATCACTCATTCAAATTCTAAATCGTGGCAGAAGTCGATGCGAAGCTTAGGCTTCTAACGGATATCATAGAATATTTTAGGTTAGGTAATACCTAATAGGATATAGGATACGGGATATGGGATAGGAGAAAAGAGGGAGAGAACGGAATAGGACACTTAAGGATAGGCTAGTCGCTGTTTCTCTGTTCATCATCTACATCCTTGTTCCACTTTTCCACCTTTATCCAGAGAGAGTCTTCATCTTATGATGCACCACCTTATCTCTGCCAATCTTTCTTCGTCCTCTCCTCCCTTACCTTATCTCACTTTGGGTTCCCACCTTGTTCCCACCTTGTTCCCACCTTGTTCCCACATTACCGGAAAAGTCCCGGTTCTCTCAATTATGATAATACGAAATTCTAAATCGGTGTCGTAGCCGTATAGGTAGGTCATCTACAGAATCATACGATAGATCGTTAGATAGGTCATAGGTCTAAAGAATAGAAGGGCGTTGGCGAGTAGGTTGATGTTGCTCGTTCGCATGGAAGCGTCCTTGTCGCACGAGCAAACATCTTCCCTCTTCCCGATTAGCCACTTCTATGACACAGCTACAAATCAGTCGAGAGATTCGAAATTGCGCTCAGCAGTTTTCATCGAAATAATTTGGACGATGAGACCAGGGAGTCTGGTAAGTTCAAGGAAGTCGAGGTCAGTTAGATTTTATAATGCGACGCAGAGAGACGCAGTTGTTCATTACGCCGTAGAGCAAACCTACTGGCTGACTCGGACTTCGAAGAGAAGACGGAAAAAGAAGCTCAAGTACATGAGAATGGCAGGACTTCCTGGGTATATCTCCATGATGGCCGCCAACTGATGAGCCACGTGTTCCTTCACTGCAGAACATATCCTTTTACGCGATTTCCGTACGCCGTTTTTACAATATAAATATATGTATATCAGCGAGATCGCGTTGCGACGTCTTCCATTAAAATTCGCATCCCGAAGAGAGCGAGATGGCTCGCCCCCCCCCCCCCCCCCCCCC